GTAAGTGTTGCCAAAAAATGCTCTAATCCATGTATGAAACAGGCTCCCTCTTTTAATGCTCAGATGCAAAGTAAACCACCTTTTCTTTATGGCAAGAACAATATAACGTATGATTCAGTGATATAAATAATACTGTAAAAATAAAAAATACGGTGTACTACTGTGTAGCAGTGGCGTTCCGTCCATATAAGCTGTGAATGCTCCGCATACCCAGGCCATTTGAGAGAATAAGTTTACGGGATAATTCATATAAACATGATTACAAGTTGATCCCTTGTCATTTGCAATGTAACTTAAAGCTTAAAGAGTTAGGAATAAGTACGTACAATGATTTATTTGCCAAATGGCAGTAATTTTCTTTAAATCTACCAATTGCGGTTGCTTCCGGGCGAGCGGATTCTCCGCAGCTTTCTCGCCTCCGCTCTGCTGCTATGACTGGTCAGGATTATAGCGTGTTCTCAGTGATTTGCTGGTCTGCGGCAGATTTAATGCGCGAGGTATGCTGTTAGTGAAGCGCTCGCCCAAGTGGAAAAATGTGTTGTTGCTGTCAGATCTCGATTGCCGAAAATCACATTGTGTTTGATGCTAAACCAACTCGACTAAATCAAAAGAAAAAAAACACTAACTGTATATTTTTGTTTTCTCAAGCAATGCAAATTTCAAAAGTCCACTGAAAACATTATCTTCTTACATTTTTGGTCATAGACAATGTATGTTGAAGATATACGTTATTGTCAATGTTACTGCCTAAGCGGTAAATTCAAAACAAAAATGTTTATAAAAACGTGGGCTATATAAAATTTTAATAATAACAAACATCATATTGTTCCCCTTGTTTTGCGTATGCTCGTGTCGCTTACAGTTAAAAGTCCTTCTCTGATTTTATTATTGTTTGCAAGGTTGTAACGTTACTTTGCAATATTTTAAATATTTTGGGGTATTTTGCATGGTCTGTTATTGGAGTAGTGTCACTGGGTGGGAGCTTTAACTCCTATTTACTGGGAATAAAAAAATAATTTAGCTGATGCAGAGAGACATATAGACCCGGGGGAATCCCCCCCATCTCCCCACCCTCTGATTACGTATCATAACGTAACTATGTGTAAACCTTATTTGGCGGTTTTTACTTGCAAAACCAGCTATATTTTTCTTGCATTCGAATAACAATGAATGACAAACCTGAAACGATAGAAAAAGGATTTGAGATTAATTTCATTTACAAATACGGAAGGAAATGTGCATACATTTAATTCATTATGCTGCGACTGCAACTGTCAAATCTAGCCCATTTGGCAAAGCAAAGTTGACTGCTACATGCAAAAATGTGATTTAATATGTTTGCCTGATAACTTGTACAAGTGTATGGTTAAAGCGCCACTGAAAGCTACAAATGCATTTTGTTGCAGAAGTGGCAACGGTGGTACCAGTTGCGGCAAAATAATTGTATAATGAGAATCTTCCAGAAGAAAAAGCTCAGAGAAATGTTTCCTAAGTGAGTGCAGTATCTTTAAAAGAAGATGATCAGATGAGTCTGGCACAACACAACACACAGAATTCCTGACTCTGCGGTCAACGGCTCATTCTGCTCTCACGAATCGTTTCTTTGCAAGTTTCCTGTCACAGCAGGATCTTGCTTAAATCTCTGTTACCTGCAGGAACTGGATGTGATCCTGTGTGTGCTCCAGCTGCTCCAGCTCAGCGTCTCTCCTCCTCAGATCATTGATCTCCTGCTCCAGTCGCTCCAGTCGTCCTTCAGCTCGACTCACTGCAGTCTTCTCCTGATCTCTGATCATCTGTGTGACCTCAGAGCGGCTTCTCTCAATGGAGCGGATGAGCTCAGTAAAGATCCTCTCACTGTAATGCACTGCTGTCTCTGCAGAGCGCTGTATGACACACATAACAATCACACAGTGGGCTTCTGTGGGACTGAAGAGGAGAGTCCAAACTGAGATTGAGACAAACTTCTCTTCTTCTCCAGACTCACCTTCTGAGACTCCACAGCCTCTCTCAGCTGCTGAAGATCTTTCTCTCTCTGCTGGAGTCTCTGCTGGAGCCTTCTCTGTGTCTCCTTCAACTTTTTCTTAAAACAAAAGGAGGAGGGGGCAAAAGAAATGCACAAAAATTTATTTCTCAGGAAAATCTTTAGGAATATAACTATCAAAATGATGCTGTACCTTATTGCACTGCATCAAAGCAGTCACTGTCATTTACTAAACTGTGGACTAGCTTTGACTCATGCTGCTGATTTGAGTGGTGATGCTTGCTGTTTTATGTGTCTGTTGATGACCTTTAATTTTTAACCATAAATGAGCACACTGCTTTTCTGATGTTCATTGAATTTTTCCATGTCTTTTTTTCCGTGTCACTTGAAATATGTCTGTTTTGGACTTGTTGCCACCAAAGGCAAGACATGGTAGATATGGTAGTCATGGAATATGATATTCAACATTTGATATTAATAATGTATTAGTAAACGTCTCTGTTTTCAGAGCCCCAAATCAAATATGGTGACACGTCAATCAAACCTCACTGGCTCATGCATGTCATGTGACTAAACATGTTGCCATATTTGATTTAGGTTCTATATACATAGGCGTGTCGCAATAATTACTATATCAAATTATCGGGAAAGGTCCACGAACCGGGACTCGAACTCGGGATGCCCGAAGTGCAACAACGCTACATGTAGACACATTGCCTATGAGGCTATCTGTGCCAAAGGCCGTTGTGTTTATAAAAAATAATGTTGTGGCATTCATATTTATATATCAGATCGCACTGTATCGGTCATCTCATCTGCTCAATGTGTCGGAGGCGCAGGCAGCTCCTCCACACAGAGAGTGGACAGCAACAGGTGAATAGAAAGCTTTACTCTAGGCAAGGGGTGCTGAACTCAGTTCCTGGAGGGCCACAGTCCTACAAAGTTTAATTCCAACTCATATACCTGTAGTTTTCAAATAACCCGAAAGAACTTGATTAGCTGGATCAGGTGCGTTTAATTAAGGTTGAAGCTAAACTCTGCAGGGCTGTGGACCTCCAGGAACTGTTTTGCTTGCTACTACAGCCAGTTTGGGAAAATAAGTTGGTTTGAAAGCCGCAATCCACATCTCCTGTCTTCCAGACGATTAGCGATTACTGATGCCTTTGCCTGACAGTGCAAATAATTCAACCGTAATTCAATATATAGCTAAAGAGATGTAGCCATCTAACATGGTCAAAAACAGGCTTTAAAAATATGCTGCAAACTTTTGACAGGCAGTACGAATCCTAAGAAAATGCACAGCTCCAAAACGTTTTGTACAACAAAATGAAAGATGACATTCTGATGAAGATTAAAAAAAAACATCTCATTTTAGTCCACTACAGATATGTGGTCAAGCTCAAATCTGATCCCATGCATGAGCTTGACCAGTCGACGTGTTTAGAGACCAGGGGCCTCATTTATAACCATTGCGTCCGCACAAAAACAGCCCTGAAAGAGGCGTACGCCACTTCCTGCGCAAAAGGTGGGATTTATAAAAACAAACTTGACGGGAAGATTTGCACACCTGCACGCAAACTCTGACCCATGCGTACGAACTCTTTTTCCTTGAGTGAGAAAATTAATGAAGTAAAAACAATGATTTTAAGCTCTGTTTTCATGTCGATATATATACATTTACATTAAATATTCCACTCTCATATGAAGATAAGGACTGAAATTACATAATGTCATTACGCTGAACTTAAACCAAAATTAAATGAATTTAGACATATTTGTAGTAAATGCGCTTTATCACTTTTCCTCTTTTATTGACAGCGAGGAGTGCTATAGGTGCACAATAATTCATCTTTAAACTAAACTGCAGATCTCATGTTATGAGAAAATATTTTTTTGCGAGATTAATGATCAGTGATGCACACTTTTATGGCAAACGCTGCTGGATTCGTTCGAACGGTCCATTATCCAGTTTGGATAGGACCAATGATAATATCTTACTGTACAACCACAGCTGCACAGAGGTGTTGATGTCGTGTGAAGGCATCTCTACAACATTATGAAAAGTACCACTGTATTTGAAGGCTACAACTTGAAGAAAACAGTAAGATTTATACTTTGTTAGTGATGTCAGACAGTTTTACACTGCAATAAATAGGCCTATCTGTTTCCACTCAAAATAGCTAAAAGATATTCCCCTTATCAGCAAAACTGCATTAAATTGAGTTTGATTTGAATTGTTTAAAACAATTGAAATAAGCTACTATTTGGCCAGTGTTAAAAAATGAGATCAACTCTATTTTAAAATATTTATCTGATAACTATTTTCAACTGTTTTTGTTTTTATTTTGATATATTTATTCAAAAACATAAGGATATTGGATGATTTTTAGAAATAAAAATTAATGTATGGCACAAATGGCATTTATAGTCCGTATTTCATATTTCCTTAATGTCTTTTATCTTTGACGGTGTTTAACATGGTGTCACGTGGACGGGAATATGCATGGAAATGATATGCAGATGAGGTTATGCATAGTAAAACTAGGCGTTGTAAGCTCCGTATATGGTGATTTCGGGGTGGAGATGCACGTACGCACAATCTTCCCCTGACTGGGATTTATAAAGAGATTTTGCGCAGGTTCTGGCAAAATCTAGCGTACACTTTTAGGATGAAATCTACGGAGAGTTTTATAAATGAGGCCCCAGATAGCTACCCCAGAACCACACTGCTGGTGTGCTTGCTGAACTGCCATGCAAAGGCAAAAGGCCTTAACTTTGTTTTGGTCGAAAATTAGTTTGTGACATTTAAGACCTCCTTTATCATGTGGATAAGTATCTTGAGTCAATTTTGTTGTTTTTTTTGAGAAAATAATGCGTTATCTAAACAGTAAGGAGAAACCAAGGCGGAACACCAGTTGCCACTCTTTGACTTTGTTTTGGAACGCTCAAATTGAGTTACGGTGCTCTGCCTTTGTTTAGCCGTGCGTCAATATGAAGCTACTGTGCTGGCCCGGAGTTATACGGTCATCTGCCCTTGTTTTACTGTCCATTAAAGTCTGCCGCATTTAAATTACAGTGCACTTCATTAGACAGACGAATTAGATTGCGATCTACCAAACTGCTCCATTTAACAAAGCACTGTAAACAGGCAAAGACTAGATAACTTTGCAACGATAATCATAAATAATCTTTAGTTTGTTTGTTTTTTCTTTTAATAATGCAGATTATTCACTCAGTGCCAGCCTGTCAATCTGGGGCTGCCCACTTCTAGTTGCACGAATGCCATCACAGCGTAGCATGTATCACACAAAATCAGTAGTAACAGTTCGCAAATAAATCCATGTCCTACCTTTTCATGTAACCCGATAAAATCCATGGCAATAAACGTTTAATCCACAAGCATTCTGAGCATTATTATTACTTGCTGGCAGAGCCGGCCTGACCTAATAAGCAATATAAGAGGTTGCATAGGGCCCCGTGGCCACCAGGGGGCCCTATGAAAACCCACTATGCCAACGTAACAACAGTAATGAAAATGAACGGTATTGTTATCTTGGGCCTTTCAAAATACGTGGATAATTCTAGATATCTTACTATACGAATGGTTTAGATTTTTAAAATGCACATTATCTTATTTTCCCTCGACCAGTCAAGTTTTCACTTAACACTGCGCATTTTCTGTGTAAAAGTTTGGTCCGATTTTCTCATTGATCTGAACAAAAGCAGCAGACGTGCTGAATAAAAATGCAAGTTCACTCACTGACGGCAGGTGGCGCTTTAGGAACAGCAGAAGTACAGCCGTTACCATGGTTAACCCTGTATACAAAGCAGCGCCGCGCAACTTCTGACACCTGCTTGTTTGTCACCGAGGTCAAGCAGTATTAACATGTTTTCAAACAGCTATTCAGATGTTTTATTCACTTTGGAGTTTATCGAATAACACCAGATATTTAAAAATGCCATATCTTTATTCAAACATTTGTTTGCACTTAAACATTTTTGCATTTTATTCAGGAATAAAACATGCCAGCACAGAAAATAGATTATTCTGTGTTATTATTATTCTTTTTAATTTTTATAACCCAGCTGTTCTTGCTTTATTAAAGCATTAATGTCACTAAATTTTCATGCATATTTTGAAGGCAGTGGTTTAACTGTTAAATAGCTAAAATGGTTAAAAGTGCTTTAAGTAAATATATCTTAATATTTATGTACTTAAAGATAAATACTGAGTAGACTTTCTTCTTATTGAAAGTATAAATCCTTTAGTTTAAATATGCTCATGTGAAAAGCCTTTGTATAGTGATTGTTTCATGTTTGTTCTGAGAATAGACATGACTTTCTTTTCCCTACCCAAATTCACGTTAAGGCTACGTTCACACTGTCAGTTTTTGGGATTGACAACCGCATTTACTTACAGGTGTGAGTCTCGAAATGTCACGTTCACACAGCAACTTACAGTAGCTTCTCGGATACTGTCTGTATGAACGTGCAACGGGAGTCAATCCTCTATTCCTTACCAGTTACTATAGTAACAGTGACCAAAATAATATCAAAGATGGTGATGTCCATAAAACTGAAAGTTTTAGCACCTTCCGACACGACACGAGTCCAATCGAGCCGCGAGTTCATCCGTCAAATCTTCATTAACCAACAGCAGCTTTTATATTTGGGTGGAGAGCGGAGCATTTGAGTCTCACGCAGAACACAAACTGGAGAATGGATCTAAATCTTTCCGATGACACAGCTCATTTCTCCGTCACTGTAAGTTACTGAAACCACACATGAAAACACACAACACTTGGTAGACACGCGTTTGTGCAGCATAGCGGCTCTCTCTTGCACCGTATGACGTGACAGACAACCAGTTGTCCAGTCCTGTTCCGTTCACACAGCGCGTGTTTTCCGAGAATACGGTTGTGAGTCATGAAAGTTTACGGGTGTGAGTTCGGTTACAGAATGCGGTTGTCACGCCTGAAAATAACCGTACTTTGTGTGAACGTAACTGTATTAATGGCTCAAATACAGGACTGACAACTGTATTCTGCTGCTGTGTGAACGTGGCCTAAGGCGATTCTAAGATAACATTCTATGTGTGTGTACTTAGAGCCTGTCAATCAACATTACAGCACCACCCTCGGGCTGAATTACGCAAGGACCGAGAATCTGCCCCACCTAAATTTACAGTTAGGAGTCGCTACTGAATGAAATTTATAAAAGATTTTGTTTGTTTTTTAGTGTGAATAATGGCTTAAATTTCCCTTGGAATATACCCTTGAGTTGTGTGGATTACTTTTTGCTACCTTTAGAAACTGAAAGCTTTGAACCCTACAGACTTTCATTTTATGTGCAGATGAGACATTCTTTCAAATAAATTTTTTGTGTTCCTTAGGGGAAAAAAGTCATACATGCATACAGTTTGGCACGACACAAGGAAGAGTAAATAATGACAGAAAAATCATTATGGGGTGAACTACTCCTTTAAGTGCATACCTGTTTTTCTGTTCTCTGTTCGGCAACCGTTCCGGTGTTGTGGTTTTTATGTTCATCCATCATACACAGCAGACAAATACATTTCTGGTCAGTGAGACAGAAAACCTCAAGGAGTTTCTCATGTTTCTGGCAGATCATCTCCTGCAGTCGTCCAGTGGCTTCAGTCAAATTGTGTTTCTTTCCTTTGAAAAAACTCTCGTGTTGTTCGAGGTGATTCTGACAGTAAGAGTTCAGACACATCAGACAGGACCTGACGGCTTTGTATTTTCTTCCAGTACAGACGTCACACTGCACATCTCCAGCTCCAGCGTAACAGTCAGCAGAGAGTTTGGTCTTCTTCAGTTTCTCCACCACTTCAGCCAGCATGGTGTTTTTAGCTAAAGCAGGTCTCGGACTGAAGCTCTGTCTGCACTGAGGGCAGCTGTAGACTCTCTTCTGATCCTCATGATCCCAGAAGTCTGTAATACAGTTCATACAGTAACTGTGTCCACAGGAAGTGGTCACTGGATTCTTCAGGAGATCCAGACACACTGCACACATGAACTCATCCTGAGAAAATCTGGCTTCTGCCATTTTTCTTAATGAATACAGAGAGAGAGACACAAAAGCACAAATTTCAACTGCACGTTAGTTTCTTTTTCTCTATTTCCTGGTTCTGTGTTTGAGTGACGTGTGTAAAACAGGTTTGTCTGCAAGTCTACAGGTACTACAACGTTTTGGAGACTGATTGCTCCTAACATGTCCATGCTCAAGCAGATGTTTCTCATTTAGTGAGGGCGTTGATATGTAGATACTTATTAACTGCTTACTTGTACCAATTTTGAAAACAGGAAATATTCAACAGAAGCTTTGATAACTGACATAAGATTATATGAATGATAATTTACTGTTTTGACTATTGCTGGGACTGATAATATCTGTAACAACTGAATAGCTGTGAAAATTTTGTGGTGAACAAAACATTCCAGGGACCAGTTTATGGCAGGGCCCCTCTCTGGCCACAATAGTGGACAAAGGTTTGCAATATTTTGATTGGATCTTGGTGGACTAACATAAGCAAACTGTCCAACGCCATCAGATAGAGATGATAGGACAACAGCCAGACACCTCTTAGAGGGCAAGAAGAAGACCTTTGGTACCAAGCCCAGGAAGGACAGGACTTCCCATTGGTCCGTATGCAGTTTCTGCCCTTCATCCACCTAGAGCAGGGGTGGCGAACGTCGGTCCTGGAGAGCCGCAGCCCTGCAGAGGTTTGCTTCAACCCTAATAAAACACACCTGAACAAGCTAATCAAGGTCTGAACAGTTACTAGGAAGCTACAGGCAGGTGAGTTTTAATTAGGGTTGGAGCTGAACTCTGCAGGACTGCGGCTCTCCAGGACCGGAGTTCGCCACCCCTGACCTAGAGACTGATTCCTAAGTTTTGGCCTGTGAACGCTATAAAAATTCCTTAGGACCTCTGGATGCAGCAGCAGTGGGTGAAACAAAGAGAGATCATAAAGATCCATTCATAACTGTTTTCAAACCTTGTAGCGAATCAGCTCATGGGGAAATATGAATAATTAACCATAAAACTGATGCAAACATGAACACACCCATTTTATACTTATTCAGAGAAGTGCCAGTTATATAGAGCCAGAAGTGCCGTCATCACTGAAAATAGTAAAAGCTAGGACAGCAAGGCAATAAGGGGCACTGAGAGCACAGAAAAAATAAAAGCAGAGTTTTTTTTTTGAGGATGCAGTTACATACTCACTCAAGATTTGGGTTTTCAATTGTTTCTTGAAAATTGAGAGGGATTTGGCAGGATGGAGTTAGGTAGGTCATTCCACCAGCAAGGAATGGTGAAAGAAAACGTTATTGAGAGTGATTTTGAGCTTCTCTGCAATGGGACAATGAGGCGTTGCTCATTTGCGAGATGGTCCTCACTGCAGAACACAAGGTCCAGGGGGCGAGATTGGATCCAGATCCAACTCCTCCCACCTTACATATACCTAAACCTACCCGTCTTCACCCCTGATCCCTAAACCCACCCGTCTCCACCCCTAAACCTACCATCTCCACCCACTAGATGTGGATCCAACCCCACCCCCTGGGGATCTTTGTTCTGCAGTGAGGGGCTACTGTCATTTGCCGACCGCAGGCTTCTGGGGGGGTGTGGTGGGTTTTTTATTGTAGTGTACCAAATAAAAATAGAGCCCCCATGTCACTTATTGTGGGTATCATATGACACCTCTCTCCGCTCCTCTGGGCGCCTGCCAAGGACTTTCACCTTGAGAATAATGAATTAGAATTATAAAAATTGGAGGGAGTTTACCATCTGACTAATCTGAAGGGTGAGATTCTGGCAAGCTTGTAGAGTCTCTAATTGTCAATAAAAGAATGACACAGTTGCAATAAAAATTAATTTATTAACCCTCTGGGGTCGAAGACTGCACCGGTGCGGTTTGTCGCATTTTTTTCTTGATGACCGCGAAAATAACTAAAAATACTCTTGATCGTACAGATAAGAGTAAGGCGTCGTTTGAAACCGCAAAGGGTAAACTTTTATTTGAGCATAGTCATAATAACAACAAAATAATGTGCTTTTGGAAAATAAAGAAAACAAACAGGGTGCGCTTTCTGCCGTCTCGGTCTCTGTCATCTTTCTTCACAGACACGTAAATGTAAGAACCTGAATCTCAGTGAATACTTGCCTCACAGACATGATAAATATATCCATAGAAAGCTTGAAATGCCTACTTTTAAATGAAGTAAGTCTTGTCGAATCAAATATTCTCTGATAAAGTAATCTGTATGAAACCTACGCGAGGTCCAGTTTTTCCTGTCTGACCTCCTTATCTGTAATATGATCACGCCCACGAACAGTGCGCACTATTCATACAGTAATCATCCACGTGAGACGAACCTGTCGAACCTGTAAATGCCCACATCATCTCCGTAAACAAAGTGTGAAGATTCATCAAGTTCATCTTTTACTTTTAGTTTCTGGTAGAAGACGCGCTGTGAGAAATAAGCCAGAATTTACCTCAGAAGTTGTTGAGGGTGCTATCACACCCTCTTGTCTTAACCATAGTGGGACAAAGTGATTCCTGTTGTGACGTGTGAACTTCTGGTGCCATCATGTCTGCTGTTCACTACAAGGGGATGTAGACTCGCAAGAGCGAGCGGAGATAGGATGATGTGGCGCACATTACTGTTCTGTAGGCCAGCACCAATGTGCATGACAATTCATAATCAGGTTTGTTTTCGCACATCACGCAGTAGGTTGAGCTTATCTGAATTTAGGTACATAAAAAAGTAAATAAATAGGGATTAAGCATATCCTTCGAAAAATTATTTATGACGCACTTCAAATGATACGATGTTGAAATGCTTGTGGAAAGTACAGTTAAGTAGTAGCCCATTCTGTTAATGTATCATGTTATGCATTTCAGAATCAGAAGGAGCTTTATTACCAAATATGTTTACACACAAGGAATTTGACAAGGCAACAGGAGCTTTCAGTGCAGAAGAAAGTACACACATCGTGCAAGCATACATATACATAGAATTACACAGTGCATTATTTATTTTTTTGTTTTTCTTATATTTGTGTTATTTCATCTTTACTATGTAGAGAAATAGATATATAAAGAAAAAACAAAACTGAGAAAGGAGTTTAGTTGGTAGATGTAAATAGGAAATTATGTTCCTAATTGGTCAGTTTTGCGAAGGGTGAAGATGAGAGTATCTAAGGAGTGGATAGTAATTTCCAAGATACAGGGATGAATGGAAGGATTGAATGTAGATGAGCATCATAGGAATGCGAGTGAGAACACTCTTAAGATTCGATCGGTCACGGGATTTAGATAGCCTGATCGTATAGACCAGGGATCCTCAAATCTGGCCCACGAGATCCACTTTCCTGCAGAGTTTAGCTCTAACCCTAATCAAACACACCTGAGCATGCTAATCAATGTCTTCAGGATCATTAGAAAATCACAGGTAGGTGAGTTTGATCAGGGTTGGAGCTAAATCTGCAGCGCATTGGCCCTCCAGGGCAAGATTTGAGGAACCCTGGTATAGACCATTTCAAGGAGGTAAACAATAACAACGTGTTGCAATGATACTGCGCATGTCTGGTGCTAAAGCATTTCCGGTGGCGCCATTTTAAAATCACAGACCTGTAAAAAAAAAAAAGACTAGCACATACTTTTTAAGTCTAGCTAAACCAGAACGGTTAAGATATTTAAAAAACTAAGAATTTACGATAACGTGGAGTTACCGGACCCCTTGAATCTGACATTGAGGCGCCAACATTTCACTCCGAACGTTAAACGATTACCTGAAATAACGTATCCAGACGTGTATCATTATCTGGTTGAGACCGAGTGCGTCTACACGAGAGAAGCGGTAAAGGCATATCATAGTCTGGATGCCTACAATTACTTCCTTAGCGGAAAAGTTGGAAGCATTCGTTCATACAATGTGGACAACGTTTATCTTGTGTTTGGCAAGGTTGGAGTAAGTCAAACACGTACTCTGCTTGGTTCACTGCTAAGGTGACCAGGGAGGTTATTAGTGGGCATTGCACTTGTATGGCCGGGTAAGTCTGTACGTCAATGCTAATAGTAAATCATATTGCTAACTGAATTCTATTAAATTAATTTATTGCATACATAATTATTTCATACTTTTTGATATGTTTGTGGTTAGATTAGGTGAAGTGTGTAGTAGGTAACGGTGTGTGAGAGAGGGTTTGAATGCTCCATCTGTAGCATCTGAGCCCTGTGTGTGGTCATGAATAAACAAGAAGGTGCATACAATTCAATGCTGGCTAACGTGTCTTTATTTATATTAAATTCTAATTCATCACACGTGTTATTAGTTGTAGATAAAAGTATTTACTTGCAGATTAGTCTGTGTATAATCCTACTTTGTTTTAGATTGATCCAAAACCGGTGGCAGACATTGACTTCTCCAAACCTGTCGGACAAAGAGCAGTTCAGAGTCAGCGATCCCATCACATCCACTGCAGTCTGTAGTCACGCCAGTCTCACCAAGCAAGCTTTTTAAGTCCTTGAAGGTAAGGGAAACATTTGCAGAATCCTGATAAATGACAATATACGCAAAACACATGAAATATGTTCTTATATGGTTTTCATGGATATAGCCAAAACAATGATATGCACATGGAAATAGTGGCACATGTGTGACTATAACCATGTATATTTCAATGTATGTGAATATATCCTTGAAAACCATATAGGAACATATTTCATGTGTTTTGCATACATTGTCATATATACATAAACACACACACAAGTTATATATACATATACAGTACTGGTCAAAGATTTGGAAACATTTTGAAAGAAGTCTCTTCTGCTCATCAAGCTTGAATTTATTTGGTCAATAATGCAGAAAAAAAGTAATGTGCAATATTATTACAATTTATAAAACGTTTAGTTCCATTCCTCGATTCTGATTGGTCAGCAGGTGTGTTTTATTCACGATACAGCATGGCCGCTTCACCCAACGGTTCTGTGTATCACTGAGTAAAGCCCCGTTCACAACGATAACTATAAAGATAACGATAAAGATACAGTTCTAAAAATCGTTCTCCATATTAAAGAATA